AATGCAATAAAAGTAAGACATTATTTAATTAGAAAAGCTTTTAATTCATTTTATGACTAAGATACATTATGGACACTATTGTCTCAAGAAATAAATTTTTCAATGAATAATGAATTTTTACAAGTATTGTTTTCATTTTTTTAAAAATTTTAATTAGAATAATTTATAAAGTTTTAAATCTTAAAATTCTGCCTTAATTTGCCCTGGTTTGGTGATATTGTTAAATAAAAACTATATTTACTAATCATAAATGGAAAACTTTATTACAATTTAGTGAACCCCAATATTTTAAAAAGAATTTTTTTATAGGTGTAGCAACTTTTGTAACCACAGACGTCCATACATGACATTATAAGAAAATAATAGCAATAAATATAATAAATTTAAATTTGAAGTACCTAAACTCAATAAAATATTAGATTATGAAGAATATTTTCCTAAGTTTTAAAGATTATTGAGAGTTAAAAATTATATAAAAAAGGCAATCAAGTAATTTTTTTACAGATATAGCCACAGTAGAAAAAATTAGATAAATTTCTGTCAGTCAAGCTGTCAGCACCTTGAATACCACATGTTAAAAAATGCATTTCTGTGATATTTTAAACTAAAAGACAAAAGAAAATGGTTGACAATTCATTTCAATTTTTGAAGATCAAATTTGGCTAGAAAGAAAGAAGCCAGAAGAGAGTTCCACATTGAGAAGTATGAGAAAAGAAACTGTTATATCTAACCATTTCAACTGTAAAATGATGACTTTGCTACAAATCTAGTTAAAATTTAGTTTTATTTGAAAGATAATGGCCTAACACTAATCTAAATTAAAAGAAATATTCATTTATGTATATAAGTAAAGTTTTTATACATTTTTAAAACATTGGCACATTCACTTGTTAAATTGCCATTATATAGTAAAAATGTAAACAACAGGTTTAAAAATCTCTTAAAATTTCAATATTTATCCTACAGAAATATTTTATGGTCATTTAGTAAATTCAAGAATTAACTGAATTTTATAAAAGTAATTTTTACTAATTTTTTATTTTTTAATTAAAACTTGAAAATAATGTTTATTCATGCATGGTAGTTTGTGCGGTCATAGGTCAAAAATAAAATCTGTCTCAAAAAAAAAAAACGAAAAAAAACACACACACACAGAACATTAATGAAATATGGAGCATTAACAGTGTAATAACCAACACATTTGTATTTTTGTTTAAAAATAATCTAACTTTATATAACCAATTGTTTAAGATTTTTTAAATTCTATACAATTTTATGAAACTTGGAATAAATAATTTTATTTTTTATACTACATTAGAAATATTTTTCTAGTTAAATTATGCTTTCAAGTTTAAAATACATCTTTTATTTTTGTACCTGTTTGATAAAATATCTAATAAATTGTACCCAATGTTTGTGTCTTAAATTATTCTGAAGAGTTACTGAATTACTCTTCTAATGGGGAAAAGTAGTCAAATTCAGAATTACTTCATTTTTGAACATCTATACCAAAAATAATGTAAGTTGCTAAAATGAAAAAAATAAATTAAAATAATTAACTTCCTTTAAAATAAAAGTGATGGCTATAGTAATATTAAAGTTAGCATTCCTTAAATTAGATTACAGGAAATATTTTCCAACATTTTTAAGATTACTGAGTACTTAAAAATTACATAAAAAGGTGCTCATCAATTATTTTCTTATATTATGTTTTCACAGATAAAGTTTCTGTAGAACAACAAATAAATCTGTCAGCACCTTCCAGTGCTTGTTAAGTAATTGATGGACAATAAAAAGTGCATAAATCATTGCTACAGTTTGTTTTAAAAATTCATTGTCTGTTTTTTTAAACTTTTTTTTCAAATCAGATTAATTATATTTTAAATCAGCTAATATTCCTCAAAGTTTTGAGTAAAGTATATTTTATTTTTGGAAGATTTTTAAAACTGAGAATTAACTTGTTTACAAATGTGTCAAAAAAATGACTGATTTTAAATGATTTCTGGAAATAACCAAAAAGTTGAAATTTCACTCAATATAATTTCTACTTGAAATACAGAGTATTTTGCTTACTGGAAATCGTAAATTTAATCATTTAGCTATCAATTCAGTCAGTTATGTGCTGTGCGTGAAACATGCTTAGGTGATCAAGTCTCTTTCAATACATAACTAAAAGGCAGATATTTTCCCCTGCAGTAGACCAGTTGCCATCCAAGGCTATAAAACTCAGTCTGTCCTTCTATTTACCCATAGCTGGGGGGAGAAGAGGATTCATACCTTTCCCAAGGGTATTAGTACATAAGCGAGTGTAATGGATCCAACTGGAATTTGAAGTAGGGTCTTTGATTCCTCAATCCAAGCCACTATCCATTACTCCACTGTGCCTCCTCTATCAATTAAAAAACTAAAAAAGAAACCTTCAAGAATGTTTTTTTTCATTTTTAAAAATTCATTTTAAATGTTGGGTATTGAAAATTTAGTGGAGGAACCTACTTTAAAAAATGGTTCATTTGAAAATATTAAACTTTACATTTTTTGATTCTTGAAATACATTTTTATTTAATAACAAAAATTCTCTTATGAACAGCAATGAATGAAATGAATTTCAAAATTTGCTAGGAAAAATTGCAAGTTTTTAAAATAATAAGTGTTGATTTTTTTTTTTTAATGCCCAATCTGAAAGAAAATGTTTTACTAAATTATCCAAGCACCAACTGTCATAAAAATGTATATTTTTTGAGTTTTAATAAATTATTTTTAGTAAGATTTGGGACAAATTTTCTGTATGCCCACACTTAATATTGCTTTTCTTTTACTGAAATAACATCATTAGGGATTTTTTATAATTGTAAACATAATTTGATGAACATCATCCAAGTTAAAAAGTATACACTGAAATATCAAAAAGGAAAGGTGAAACAGATCCCTCAAAAAATATGTTTCCACAAAATTTTTCTAATAAAATAAGCACACAATTCATTGATAATACTGAAAATTCTGTTCTGATTTTTGACAAACATTTTAAAACAGGTAGTAGTAATTGTCAAAATTTACAGCAAAAGACAGTTTTGAGAGCCATGATAGCTAATGTTCTGAAAAATATGCTATATTATTATAAAATTATCTATGCTAGACTAATGAAAAAAAAACGTTTTCATTAAAATAAAATAAGATTCAAGTTTGCATAAAAATTTCAATTACAAATCTTTAAAAGATTTTAAGTTAATTTCCTTAATTAATGAAGGTCATTCATTCAAAGCACAAAATATATTTTCTGTAAAAAAATCACATTAACTGATCTTTTAAAAAGTGAATAATCTACAAAATCAGTTTTTCAATCATAATTTTGTGACAGAAAAATAAGAAATCAAATGTAAAAAAAAAAAAAAAATCATTTAAATTAAAATTCATTTTGATTTGAAAGCACTCTGCAAAACAATCTGATTTCTGATCTTCAGCAACTTTGTAAATAATAAATCAGTCCTCTCCAAAAGTCCACATCTGTTAAATCACGATGAGTGCTAAAGATCTTTCATCACACCTACCTGAATTTTTGTTTTGTATGTAACCATTGGCAACATGTAAACAAAGGGAAGTAATTCATGGATAAGCTGTAATAGTGCTGATTACTACCTCAATGGGGGGATTCTTTCACTGGTTTAGCAATGGATGAAACAATTGTAAAATATCTGACCATATTTTACTCTACTGCAACTGCTCAAAAAAATGTGCAATATTTGTTCTTGTGCAAAATTAAACTAAAATTGGTAAATACACATTTAACTAGTCCTTCCTCCACTCTTCTGTACATCATAAAAAAATGTGATCCATTCACACATAATGGTTTACGAATATTAATCATTCCTCCCACAAAGCAATTTTTTTTTTTTTCTCCAAGATTATGTCTAACTGAAAACTTTATTCTTCTATTTAAATAGAGATTACGCGGGCCAGTAGACAAAGTAAATACTGCTTAAAATAAACAAATTTTCTACTCAAATACAGTTACCCATTTTATATATATGAGAGAATAAATACATATTTAAACAGCTAGCGTTCAAACAAGTTTAATCAAATTCAATTGACAAATCTGGTTCAGTCTACATTCCTAGGACCTTTGAATTTGAGATTGAATACATACATTTGCAGAATTTCACGTTTTCATTGGGCATAGAAAATAGTACAATTATAAACAGGAAAAGAGTAGATACACATTGATGCGGGATTTAAAAGTTAAAACTGGAATGCACTTTTTTTTTTTATACAAAAACAAAAGTAAAAAAAAAAAAAAAAAAAAAAAAATGCATTGCAGTTTTAATTCAAATGAGAATTTTTTGTTTAGCTGCATCTATTTAGTAGTTTTTTTTATTTAAATAGATTTTTTGTTTCTAAAATATTTGCTGAAGCATAACATTGAAATGACAACCTTTCATAATCTAAAGCAAGCTATAATCTAGTAACAAGTTTTAATTGTTCTTAATAAAAGCTGCACTTTACTTTGAAAGCAGCATCATATTTAAGGCAACTGTAGAAGTGAGTTAAGTTATATCAAAGTATGTAAACAGAATAAAAGTGAAAGTGGATTAAACAAATGACAAAAAAAATTGCTTGCACCTTGAACATTAAATTTGATAATCTTACAAATACATTTACGTGGTCAATGTTCAAGGTTTAATGATAGATGTTTGATCATATTAATCACTTAGCAAGAGGTTAAGTTATGCATATAAATATCACAAAAATGATTAATTTTTATGACCCATATATATCAATATCATTTCATTAGGAGGCAGGAGAAAATTCAAGTTTTTCAATAAATAAAGTGACATTTTGAAAGTTACTTTCATCAATATTTTTTTTTTTAATTAAGAAAAAAAACAAAAACAAAAAAAAAACAAAAAACAAAAACTATTATTTTATTTCTTTTATTAACATTTGTATAAACAATGTAATTCAAGATGAAATGGAATGAATTATTTTCTAGTAGGTGATGATCTATATTATTCAGCTTTCTCCTTGGAGTCTTCTTTATAATGGAGAAAGACCAGGCTGAGTAGAAAAACTCCAAACATCATGGAAAATGCACTAACATAGTAAGGGTAAGCTGAAGGAATAAATCGTTCATATTGAGTGTGCTCTAACGGCCTTACTGACACCTGTCAAAAAGAAAAATTTTTTATAAAAACCCATATGAAAGTGAATTCAGGATAAATAGAAAATATTCTTTATAGTTTACTAATTTTAAAATAGTAACTAATTTTTAAAGATTAGTCAAGCTAATTGTAGACATTTGAATTTATATATTTATAGGAAAAAAACAAAAACAATTGAATTTCACTGCAAAACATTTATAGAAAAGTTTCTAAAAATTAAACTCATTACCAACAGACTAGTTACTGCAATCAAATTAAAAGCATAAACATATACAGAAGAATATATCAATGTACAAAAAATAAGTATTATAAAAAAAAAAAAAAAAAAAAACATCTCACTTGTGTTAAACTGAATAAATGAGTAAATCCCATTCTGTTGTAATCAACTCTAAACTGATATACACCATACACATCAGGGAGTTTGAAACGAGTGCTGAAGACACCATCTTTAATGAAAGAGGGAAAACTTTAAGTTTCAATAAAAAAAAAAAAAAAAAAAAAAAAAAATACAAATTTAAAAAAAAAAAAAAAAAAAAAAAAAAAAAAAATATAAAAGTTCTCAATAAAAGAAATATTACTGATTTAGATCAATGTAAATGAAGTTTATTCAGTTGTCTAAATTTAAATAATTTGCATAAGAAAAAAAAAAAAAAAAAAAAAAAGGGGAATTTGTAAAGCATTGAGTAATTTCACTATAGTCAGCTCTCCAAGAAAAAAAATTAAAAAAAAAGCTGATGTAATGAAGTATGTAAAGAAAGAAAGAAAAAAAAAAAAAAAAGCACTTACTTTTTTCTGTTAATGTGCTGCACACAAATGGATCAATGCGTACAAATTCAAGCTGCACATCATTTGCTTTAAATGGCTGCCATCTTCCATTACTGAACTCTTCAATTTGTATACTATATTCCTGTAAATAAAATAGAAAAATAAAAATCGAAGAAAACTTGATGGGAATTTATTTTATTTTTTAATATTAGTACCATAAAAAATTTACAGGTAAACAATACTTACCACATCATCAAGAATAGTATAAGCAGGTGGTGGATTCACATTATTAACAATATGGTGAGTTACAGCACCAGCACGGAGAACACCACGCATTTTCAATACCCATTCTGCTAAATTTGCTGCTAATTCTTGATTCCCAGATTTTTTATGTCTGGAGAAGGAAAAAAAATCTTATGGAGAGTAACTTTAATAATAAATTCCATATTAGCAGAAACAAAACAAAATTTTAACCTCAAAGTAATTCACTTGAATAGTATTTGTATAATCATAAAAATGTAAAGACTTCTATTATATTTAAAAAATATAATAGAAGTTTTTACATTTTTATGATTACACAAATATTCATACTATTTAAGTGGATTACTAAAAATGAATGTAAATGATGCTCAATATATTGAGCTGTTTCTTAAACTTTATTTACAATTTATTTCATAGTCAAATAAGGTTCTCCAGCCAAATATAAAATATATAGTCATTGAAGCTAAAAATTCAAACAAGAAACACTTCCTTTAAAATATTTAGCTCTGTTTATAAACTTACATTTTATCTTGATTAGCTTGTTGAACTGGAGATGTGAAAAACTGGTCACTGAAGAAATCTAAAGACCCAACAAAAACAACTCTTGCATTGTTTCTGGCCTGCAGAGCAGCAATGAGCAATGTATTCTTACCAACAGCATGGGGAAACTAATGGGAAGAAAAAAAAAATAGATAATAGATATCTATAAAAATTTCTAACATCAGCAAATTGTAAATGAAAAATAAAAACTTACTTCATCAATTTTGTTGTTTGGATTGAAAGAATAGGCTGTAGAAGATGCATGGAGAACATTCAAAACAAGAGGATTTTCAGAGTCAGCTGTCATCCTGATAAAAATAAATATCAAATGATTAAGAACTTTAATTTTTATCAGAAAGATAAAATTTGGGAATTTCAAAACTAAGAACTTACCCAACTCCTTGGAATAAAATTGGAGCAGTGTTGCCTTTACCCACTATCATAGGAGCATCAATGAGATTAGCAGGGTCAGCAACAATCATGGTGTGCTAAGGGAGGGAGAGAAAGAAATAGCTGTTAATAAATAGCATTTAAAATTTTTATGAGTTATGTATATTTTAGAAGACTGCGTGTTTTTTTCTTGTTTTAAATCAAAGTCAGATGAATAAAGTATTAAGCTATTTGTAAAAATGCTCAAGCATAAAAATAAAACCATATTAAAAGGAAAAAAAATGCCATCTTCAGAATTGTTATACACAGACTTGAGGTAAGACAAAAAGTATGTATAAACAGAAGTAAATATGTCATCAGGTTTATAAATTTTTAAATTTAAGAATGTTCAAATATTCTCCAATGTGTGAAAGTCAAGGTAAACTGTAGAGGATGCTAAGTGATGCAATTTAATGCCTAATAAACGAAAATGAGTAAATGTTGAATTTTTTTTTTTAATGTACTTATTAGTCATTTTATTTTAGTTTGAGAAATTAATTTATGTATTTATTTTAAATAATATGCTGATTTAACAATTTTCTTTTAATTTTTAAATATTTTTTATGGTCAAGCATGCTGGCTTGGGAAAAGTGTATATCTTTTAGGAAAGGAGATATTTGAAAAAAAATTTGGGGCGCAGATTAACATTTTCACAAGATGCAATAGTGGCATTCGCAAGAACTTTTCATCAAAGTTATTTTCTCTTAATTTTCTTTGAAAAATCTTTAGATTTGCCTTGATGATGGAATACAGCAATAAAGGAAGGTTTTTCTTTTGTCTTTATTCAGTCTTCTTAAAGAGATATTTTTCTTATATCAATTTTTAAACATACACAAAAAACATTTCGATTCTTATTTTTATTAAAGATGGTATTGATGGGTTTTATGTACCAAGACACTTCAGGACAGGAACAATCATAGCTCTTTACAACTTCCTATTTTTTTTGTAGCTCTAATGTTTGTCTTTTACTATCATGCCCAGTCCATGTTCTACCATACACATTTATACAAGCTTGTTAGTTAGGTAATTCATTGTTTCCCTCTGTACATCTTGACTTCAATGTCCCTGTGAGTGTTAAGTTTTCTAACCCTTTTTCCTCATTATGTGTTCCAGAAGTTTTAACTATCTTTCTGATTCCAAGTGTCTTTTTTGTTTCCATTTTCCTTAAAATTTCCTTGATACTCACATCCCTCATCTATATTTTCAGCATCCTTCTATAGAAACATCTGCTACCTCAAGTCTCCTTTGCTTATGTGAAAAAATTGTCCAACATTCACTGCCATTGAAAGGATGGATATTACATAGTAGTTCAGCAAGCTTTTCTTTGTTTCTAATGAAATTTTCTTGTTTCTTAATACTTTTAGTTTTTGGAAGGCATCTTTCACTATTCCAATGCAACTTCAGATTTTTGCATCACATTTTCTATCATCTCTTAAAACTTCCCAGATAGTTAAGTTTTTGTATTTGCTTGATTTTAATGCCCCCAATTCATAACATGTCTTGGACTTTTTTTTTTTTTTTGACAACCATACATTGTCTTCTTACAATTGGTGATTAGTGTTTTCTTCCAGTTTTCCTTTGCTACATTATCTCAAATTTCTTGCAGTTTTCTCTCTTCCATTAACATGGTGTCACCTGAACATCTTATATTGTTAAGATTGTATTCAATAATAATAAATCCAGGTAGGACTTAGTTCTCTTAAGATCACTGGTTAAATAAGTCCAGTAAGAAGACCCATCTTTGTCTTACAACCCTATTTTTGTGCACTTGCTCCATTCATTTCCTATCCATGTGCAGGCAGTTTGCTCCTAGTAAAACAAAGTGATAATTTTACAAACTCTTCTATACATATAAAAACAGGTTATAAACTTAAAACATTTCTTGATTACAATATCAAGTGTGAATATTAATTTTACAATGAGCATAAAGTAGATTAATATTCGGATAAAGAATTTATATAAAATAAGTATTAAAATTGAATTATAAGAAAATATTTCATCAAATCAAGAAACATTTTACCTTGCCTCCATCAGAGATATCATAATTCAAATGATCAATAACAGCAGTCTTCTCCTCATCAAATTCAACACCACACTCTGTAGCAATTTCACGCAATGGGTCACCTGTGCATTAAAAGAAGAACTGAAGAAAACAAAAAATAACCAAAACCACAAGTTAAAGCTATTTAAATTGCCCATATTATTTAACTTAAAGTACAAGTTACACTAATGTTCATTTCCCATTGTTAATTTTTTTATGCTACTGAAATATAATTTGTAGTTATTTAATCTATTAGGTTAAAATAGTTTCTACTGTGACAAAAATACAAGTCTTAAAGTAAATGTTTTGAAAGACTAAGAATTTTTTATGTTTCCTACAAACTGTGCATATTTAATTTTTTAACTTTTTTAGGCAAACAAAATAATAATTGCTTTCTTATATTTTTCCTATAATAATTTTAAAGATGTCTCTGAAGTTACTTATTAAATAAAAGTTATCAATATTAAGGTCAAGTAAATTCACAAATGCTACTAAAGTACATTTTCCTTCAACTTTCAGTCAGTCCTTATATTGTGCCTAATTTAATAAAATCAGATTTATAAGTCATTAGCAATAAGTCAATATTTCTTTAGATAAATTACCAATAGATGAACTTGCAGCAACCAAGACATTGCCACCATTGTCAATAAAGTTTGTGATGGCAGCAATATCAACCGAGCCACCAAATTCTGCAAAACAGAAAGAGAAATTTTTTTAACATATTTTGTAAGTAGTTCAGAATAGGAGAGTTAATAAAATAGTAATCACAATTTCAAGTTAAATAGTCCAATAGAATTAATGGCAATCATAAGGAGAAAAAGAAAAATTAACCTTAGTGAGAGGTCCTGCAGGAGTAGTCTAGCCGTTATTGTTAGTGATAAGACTAAACAAACTGTTGTAAAATTGTGCAAAATGTGGGTTTCCAAAATACTGACAGATTCTAAGGAAACACAGAGAGGTTAGCAGTTCTTCAACAATGTGGTGAAAGAAGTAACTTGCACAAAGCTAAGAAAACAGACAGGAAACTGCTACAAGGTAAATACATGTGCTTTCATGTAAAGATGAAAATAAAATACCATAATTGAGAAAGGAAGCTTTGAATCTTCAGACCTTGGCATTCATTATGGTATTTGTGCGCTTCTATAAAATTTGATGTAATTAAAGAACATGCATTGGCCAACATTTATATATCCAAAACTCTAAGGATAGAGCTCAAAGATTAATTAATAATCATAATATCCTTAATAGGTATCTAAAACAAAATGTGAAAAATTTCAATTTACAAAAATTAAAATCTAACAAAAATTGCAGGATGAATAATCTTAAGATAATGACAAACTCTTAAACTTACCTTCAACAGATGGCGAGAAAATGATCAAGTGATCATACAAAAATTCTCCATACTTTATTAGTGCCAAAGAAGAATCATCAGCAGTTTTGAATGTAAGTTCAAAGTTACGGTCTGCAAAATAATTTTATTTAAACATTTAGAACTATCAAGAAAAATCTTATAGGCAAAGTTTCAAAAGATGACTTGTTAAAAAAAAAAAAAAAAAAAGTTGATTTTTTTTTTTTTTTTTACACTTAGATTTTTAATACAGTAGCATTATTCCAGTTAAACTCTCCAATTAAATCCTGCAATTTTAATAAAAAAATAAAACAAAAATCAAATGATTTACAAGTAGGCTAGGCATATTCATAATATAATTGTTTGATCTATACAAAATAGCGATTAGTATTTATTTACATACAATATTTAAAACTACTAAAAGCAAACCTTTCTCGAACATTTGATTTCCTGGAATGTCACAAAAATAAAAATAAAAAATCAGGATTACATCTCATTTAGGAATGCATAGCTCAATCAAAACTATATGTATATTTTTTAATTAGCTTTGTCTAAAGATTATTTTTGATAGATACTCATATTCGAGTAGAAACTGTTTTCTAATTTATCAACTATATCTACTGGCCTGAATATTCAAGAAATCTTGTCTGAAAAATATGCTTCTTCCAGCAGGATTTGAACCTGCAACCTATATGGGGAATTATCATTAGACATAATAGTTATGTCCAAGTTGTTTTATAAATTCGTTAAGATTTTTATTTTAATAAATACATTTTCCTTGTAAAGTTTAGAATGAATAAAACTTGAGTTTTGTAACTTGTTCCTGTCTTCTTAAAGATATTTATTGAAAAATACAATTTCAATGAAATTATTGAAATAGTATGAAAAAACTATCATAATTCAATCAGTTTATGATATGCTGATGATATACACTAGTGGGTAGATTACAAACAGGTAAATTTTATAGATAATTAAAATAAACATTTATGGATAAAAAAAAACAAACCCCCAAAACATCAGATTCGTCAGTGCCCACAATTATCCAGATATTTTCGGTGAAAATACGAAGGAAAAGACAGCTATTTAAAAGTACAACACTAAAAAGGTTAACATTTCAAATTAATTAGAAATTACAAATTAAAGAAATCTAATGGAAAATTTGTAGCGTTAAGTTAATTTACATATGAAAATGTTTTATAAAAGTAAAATCAATTAAAGTAAAACAAAATTCAATTGATGGGGTAACTCTCCACACAAGGGTAAACAATTAACACGTCATCTCTAACGGAGATGTAGTTTATTTTTAAATATAAGGAAGCTCAACAAACTTAGAGCAAATTAAAGAAAATGTCATGTTAAGAAATCAAAATACAAAAATCTACGTGTCAATTTTTTTTTACATCTTCATTTTTAAAGACTGTTCACTTCAAATGAATCGACAGTTTTGGGTGAGAAATGGATTAATTATAAATGGATTACTTTTTAATGTCGGTTGTTTAAAATTATTTAATCTAAAAATAATAATATACACTACAGTAGCTTAGTTTGGGTTCATATCAGTAATCTTAACAAGTTAAACTCATTTGCATCAATAATGAATTTTATTAATTCAGTAGTCAGAAAGTTCAGGAATACATCGCAGAAAAGTGTCAATTTTAAATAGACATCTTAAATATACGTCTCATGATAAATTTGTTTAAATTGTATTTTTAAGTTAATACATTTATTTGTTGGTCTATTAATTTAGTAAGAGAGCTGAAAATCTGTTTAAAAAGTATTCCGTTAAGTTGCTATATTAGAGTACAAACACGTGTACAACGTTCTACAATCTAAATTTTATTAATTGATGAAGTATTCAGTTATTAAAAGACTAAATATTTACCAAAAGGAAGGTTTTTGTAAAGGATTTTTTAAATCTTTTATCATCTGGAAGTTATATGGAAAATGCAACTTTGACAATGAGGAAGAGAAAAGAAATATATGGCCCAACGGCGTGTGGACTATGTCCTTGCAGGTATCACCTTTCCATGCAAAGGTAAATATTGAAATATTTTTAGTGCACAGAACAAGGCTTTTCTACTTTTCCTTATGCTCAAAAAAAGACATCAGAATTTACAGGACAACGTAAAAAAAAAAAAGTTTATAATTGTTTGTTTTTTTATATTCAATCATTTCATAAACGAAATTGGAATAGTATTTATTTGCCACAAAGACGCAGCAAATATACAATACAATTTTTTTTATAGTGCAGTTTCTGAAACAACGCAACTTTAAATTAGGGTTAATTACAAATTTAAAGTAAAAACAAACATTTTTTTGTTCCTACCTCGTAACATTCTAAAGAAAATAGAATGCGTTTCTCGCAAAGACCAACTATCAACCAAAACTAATGTTCTTCTACCGCCGGATCCAGCAGGCTGCTGCAGTGTTGATTGTAAACACAAAAGCAATATTATAAGAACAAACTTCATGCTTTCAGTCTCACAAGTCATTATTTTCTTTAACACGCTGCTAATATTCATATTGCCACGTTACACTAATTTACACACCCAATGATTCTACAACAAACCACCTCTTCTGTCTGCAACGTTGACGACGACCCGCTTTATAATCTACATGAACTATTTCATATTCAAACAATATAGTTCTATCGAAAGCTAGATTAAATCAGAAAAAAATTGTATTTTTTTAAGTTTATTGCATAGCATTATTTTATTTATAAAAGTTTCATTGTACTTATTTATGCTATAATTGTTCAATCCAAGATATTACACTAATGAAGACAATACGTGTAACCGTTGCACAAAGATCCATTCAGTTATTACTACGCCAAGTTATTACAATACATTCACCACATAACTGCGAAAGGAAGTTGTTCTAGAAGTAGCTACTAAATAATTTTAAAATATTTTTCTAATAAACAGTAAACTGGGTGAAAATGCACGAGTTTATGTTTTATTTAAATTTTTATAAAATAAATATTTCCATACAATTTTCTAAAGTAATACATTTTATTTTACAACATTCATTTAAAGTAATAAACTTTTCATTTGAATCGGATAATTTCCTGATTTTTGATAAATATCTTAATTTAGGTGTACTGTAGCGATATTTTGCTTTCCTTTCAGAAAAAAGAACACTACTTTACTTTTTGGTGGTACATATGATTCAGTTTAATGCTATTTTTGTTAGTTGGTTACATAATAATCTGAATCACCATTTAAGATTTGATTTGCTTATCAAAAATAGTACAACTGACAAGTATAAACTAAACAATTTTATTATTTAAAAAAAAAAGGAATCAATAAATGAAAAAAAAAGGAATCAATAAAGGAGTCACCCCCACTTAACAAAATAAAAACTGAAATCATAATAATAAAATTGTTTTTCTTTTTTGTCCCTGGTTCTCATATTTAAATGTGTCTGTGTATATATATATATATATATATATATATATATATATATATATTAATTAGTGCATATACTTAAACTTGTACCTACGTTTTGGTGTGCAACTTAAGTTTCCCTGAATTACACCACATCAGGCACAAAGTTTATGTTGCTCAAAGTAAACACGGGAGGAATGCTACTATGTAGCCCAAAAATAAAATTGAACAAAAAATGTAGTAAATGCGATGCAGATGAGTTACATTTTTAAAAAATAGAAAAATGCAGAGAGATTGTAAAAAAGAAAAAAGAAAAAGTAAGGATTATAAATTTAGAAACTTAAAATTAAAGACGCTGTTTTAGTTTTCGCATAGCCAAGATAACATTAAGGGTTAAAGGGAGGTAAGTTTGTAAGATGCTTAAGTCTTAGTAAGGTAAGGAATGGGAAAATAACAGTGCCGCACAAACAACAACCAAGAAACTTCAGATCGATGACAGGGTTCACAAACTCCAAAAGCAACAGGTTTTTATTACTATTAAGGACCATGAGAACAATTTTCCAAACAACCCACAGTTCCAATTGCTTAATCCTTCTAAGAATAACATAGGCAAAATGAGCAAAGCCATACTTGAACGTGCATGTATTTAATTTACACCAGGAATTCAACAGGGGTCAACCAGTGGAGAAATACCAAAGATGCTATAAGTTGGTTTACTAATATTAAAAATAAGAACAGTGCACCTTTATGCAATTTGTCATATCCAACTTTTACATGTCAATCGTTGAAAACTTACTAATAAATGGCTGCTAAGAACTATTGCACCATCACAGACAAGTATATCGGAATAATTATACAAGCCTAAAAGCTCATCCTATACCATGATGTTTCTTAATGTGGACCAATAAAGACACTGCCAACTTCTCTATAGTGATGGGTGTGTTTGACTTTGCAGCTTTGTGAACTGGCCGGCATATTGCTTCTATTGAGGCTCAGATATATTTTTGATAGTGAGAGCACTGGGCTGTACAGGGATGACAAAGTTATTCTTCTACACAACTCCAAGCCACAAAAAACTGACAGGCTTAGGAAACAGCTAATAAAATTCTTTAAGGATCATGGACATAGCATCACCACTGTCACCAACGCCAATTATGTACATGTCTTATAATAAGGATCTTTACAATCATTAGTAAAGAATCCAACCATCATCCATGCATACTCAATAATCTCCACAAATCTGTACAATATAGACTCTCCACCAACTCCAGCAATAAGCACATCTTCAATACATACAAAACCAAATATGTAGATGTATTAAATAAAAGCAAGCACAATGCTGAACATACCCAACACTAGTATATCCCCAACACTATTATGAATGCTAATAGTAAATCCAAGAATAGAACATGCAACATTATTTGATATATATATCTTTGCTCTGTCTAACCACATCAAGCACTATTATGTTTACATGTACAAATTTGATAACTATTTATTTGCTTTGCCCACATATGCACACCAGCATGTGCATATACACTTACTTATATGAGGTAATTTGATTTATCTATTCCTATATATATATTAAACAATAAAAAATATTAAAAAATTAAAATCTTCAGATGCACTGGGTTGTAGATTAATATTCCTACATTTTTATTATTATTTCATTTAGATTCCTCGACTAGTTTTGGCCAACATGGCCATCATCAAGAGAAAAATATTTTTTCTGCTTGCTGGTAGCAGTGAATTACAGAAATGAATGTCTTGATGGAGAAAATGAACTTTTGTCTGTAGTTTTCATTTGTTTTTTATTTTTTAACATGAATTTTGGTCAGTCTTTGTGTTGATTAAACAGTCTCTTTTAAGTTGTTATTTGAGATAAGAGCTGGGTGGATTCATGCTGCTCTGAATTCCCTTGGTCATTTTGACAGTTTTATTGGTTCCTGGAAAGGGGATGTGTCTCTGTTAAGTGTGTATGTTATCATTTGGCTCATTAGGGAGTGAGTGAGTATGATGTGTGTAAGTGTGTATATTTGTGTAGGTGTGTGTATAAGTGTGAGGCCTCAACACCTCTGCAAGCATGTCTGTCTTGTGTCTGTGAGAAATGTGGGTAGGTTTTGGTTTGTAGGATATTAATACTATCTATATTGTTGAATTTATGGTTAAGCCCGGCTGGATAGTGTGTTTTTAAACGTTGTATCCACTTATTTTCATGGAACTCTAAAATCTTTCTAATATTATCTGCTCTGGACTTTTCTATTCTCTCAATTATAGTGAATTTGGCATGGGTGTACTATATATATATATATATATATATATATATATATATATATATATATATATATAGTACAGGTAATAAATCCATTGGTATATAATCAAAGTGGATCCTAATAACATAAAATATTAAAACTGATCCGTGAAAAAGCTCAATGTATCTATTATAACAGAGCATATATATTACATAATAAAGAAATTCAAAACTACCTCATGAGTGTAGACTATTTCAACTAATGTCAATGCATTAGCATTTTTCAATTCAAATGGTGAACTGATTCTGTGTTAGAAACTTAAAATTAAATATTTATAAAAAGACAGCAGTTGAAAAACACAACACATGAGGTGATAACAGGAAGGTGGATGTTATCCGGCTTAAATGGAAAAAGGCCACAAATTTGACACAGCTATTAACTCTAACACCCCAAGTTTTTGTTATGAAAAATTGAAGGGAAATTAAAGGGTGGCCAGAAAAAAAAAGTTAAAAAGACAAAATTATTAATTATTCAACCAAAAACCATAAAATTTGTTACCATTTAAAATGACCAAAATATGCTTGCAAATAAAATATAAGATTAACAATAAATATTTTTTAGATAGTTTATATTAAGAAAAAATTGGAAAAATAAAACATTTTAAAAATATTAAAAAACTATTAAAAAATTATATATATATATATATATATATAATTATTATATAATTTTAAAAATTATAATAAAATAATTAATAATTAAAAAATTTTTTTAAATTTTAAATTTAAAAAAATTTTTAAAAATCAATAAAACTAAAAATAATTATATTAACCACATACAATTTTAAAGATAAGTTAAATTTCTAAGAATACTAAACATACCAGGATAAAATAAAATAAAAAACATTAAAAAAAACTTTTAAAAAATAAAAGGATAAAAAACAAAGAAAAGGGAGTTCATAAAGTAGTGGAAGGATAGGATTGATATGGAGAAGGTAAAACATAGAAATAACTACAGTAAAAGATATAACATTAGATGGGTTAGATAAGTAAAAATTAAGTAAGATCAAGAATATATTAGAGAAGTTTAAACCTACTCCTGTGACAACATTTAGAAACTAATTCATTTCTTTGATTTAATAGTTTGCTTTGATTATTGAATTTTATTATTCTAATTTTCACTTCTAAACATAGGTCACACCTACTCTTAAGATTATTAGGAGTATGAGCAAAACCTATAATTTTCCAGTAATCAAACCTTTCTCCCTCAATTCCCAAAATTTTTTGGAAAGAGCTGTCTGATATTTTAATTTGGGGTTGGAAAAAGAGTGCCTATACATGTAAAGTCTTTGTTTCCATTCCCCGCCCCTCTAAGCTTCACCATTCTTATCTAAAGCTTGATAGACAAATTCAATAGTAATTGTTACCACATCAGCAGCTGACCTAGAAAAACAAAAGCAATATTGTTTATCTGAAAGAAGGCCATGTGAAGTGAGATGCTTAATCAATCCAGAGTTGATTAGAGTCTCTAGTATTTTACTAAAAAAAGGTCAAAGACTGAAATGATGATAATTAAAGGAACAAGAAGTTTTACCAGTGTTCTTAAAGAAAGAAGTAGAAGAGGATTTCCAACAAGGTAGAAAGCAAGAAGCAGCATATTTGGAGAGAATTCTGTAAAAATTTACAATAATGGAACCAGTACTAGGCAAATGAAAACTTCCCAACAAATCAGTAACAATTTTTACTTGGTCACTAAAGAAACATTGTCTAGTGTTAACCAGATGGAATAGTTGTGCCCTTTATGGACACTTTATCAATTGTTGCCTTCAAATGGATT